TCATCGAAACGTTCAGCAATTCTTGCGTTTATTTTCTTAATCAAATGTTTAATAATTTAGATGATGTCAACTGTTAGACTAAATGCACTCTATAATAATTTTATAATTCATGATTTTGTTGTTGTAATGACTTTCGATTTTATTTTTGAATATCGAAAGGGGAATTTTCAATGATGTCATAACGAAAGTAAACATTCATGAGGGATATTTGACATGCTATATATTATAGAAAAGTTTAAAAATCTCAAAAAAAATACTTCCAAAGTTGCCTTTCAGGACTCCTGATACTTCACAAGGAATGGTAACATGATTTACCTATAAAACATATTGGGTATTTTCCTTAGTTTTGTACTTACACACCATTCGCAAGATACTCGATGGAAAAACGTAGAAAGCGGAAAAACCTTACTATGCATGGAGCTGTAACAGTAATCGTGTGAAATGGTTTTCGAATGTCATGTATTTTGTCATTAAGGAAAAATAAAACTTTCTTAGTCCTATAACATTGTGTGCTGTGGCTTTTYGCGGAAGTCGGCCGATGATAACATATCGCACCATGTATGTGGTAATAATTCACMAGGTATATTTTGGACGCAATATATAATAAACATGCTTATAATTTTGCTATTGAAACCGAACTACCTAAATCTGTAGGCTGTTGTGTRAATATTATATTCCTATATTGTGTGCTAGCCTAGTCGGCAATATTTTAAGCATTGATCATTGACTTTTGCAAATATGTTGGCTTCGAATGAAGCCGGTTGATGTTTTAGAGCGTTTTCAGGTCGTCTAACCGCCAAATCCGTACAGAGTACGTCCTTGGCGTTTCAGTGCATAGACAACATCCATGGCTGTGACGGTCTTTCTCTTGGCGTGCTCGGTGTAGGTAACAGCATCTCTGATAACGTTCTCGAGAAAAACCTTGAGRACACCACGGGTCTCTTCGTAGATCAGACCAGAGATTCTCTTGACTCCACCACGACGAGCAAGACGACGAATGGCGGGCTTGGTGATTCCCTGGATGTTGTCACGGAGAATCTTTCGGTGACGCTTGGCACCTCCTTTTCCTAATCCTTTGCCTCCTTTACCTCTTCCAGACATTTTCGTTTRTTATTCGCTGATGTAAAACTTATAGTTTCGATTTCGATAAATGGAATGGWCCAAGAAGCCGTTTCGACGTTTATATACTCGGAAAACTTACCTCAAAGGGAAAAGGGAAAGAACCCACTGTTAGTGACAAGTAAATATGAATCTGATTGGTGCGTAAGTTATGAAGATCGACCAATCAAAAGATCGGGTATTTAAATTTTGACCAATCATAGAGCAGAAGGAATCTTGTATCCGATCCGATCGAAAGTCAAGCTCGCTGTCTTGAAAATAATGACATCTTAGGATAGATTTTAAGAGATTTTAACATGGAAATGTCGTTTCTTTTTTTGTTTCGATGAAGTATTTGCTTGATTTGTCAAAATTAAGAATCCAAGGAGTGCTYATATTTCATCTCCACGTTTTATTCGCTTAATTTTGATAAAATTTTAGAATGTGAAGTTTGATCCGATTTCGCTCGTGAATCATTTTCTCTTATCAATATTTACTAAAAAAAATTTTCCCCACAAAAATATCCCCTTTCGGGTTTCCCCTATTTTTTATTTTTTCCCCTACTTTAYTTTCGTTTCATTTATTGCAATTTCATTCGAACTGTCTCCGAGTCGCACGCTGAAATTTATTTTTTTTGCTGCCGTCRGTCAAAAATCATGAAAGGTACCAACTGATTAACGTTTGATTGACGGCAGTGAAAAAACTAAATTCAGCGTGCAGCTCGCTGTCATTGAGTKCGCATGTTTATGAAAATTGCGTTAAGCTTTTCTTTTTTTTTTCATGGTTCGATACTAGTTGCGAAGCTGAAATACAGTAACAACCACATAAAACATATTAAGGAACTATTTATTGATCAAACGATAAAAAGACTATGTACAATCAATATACATTACCAGATGCCTAATAATTTCTTTTACATGTCCATGTGGSTCTATCTCAATCAAATTTTTGTAGGTATGGCTTTTGCCACTAATCGGAAGGGGGGAGTCTGATTGGAAAAGGGTGAGGATGCTTATCATGCATTTTAGGATTCCAGATCTGCAAATTGGTACTTCTCATGGTGTTGCAAATTTTCGAAAAGCACTGCAAGTACTCTTAGGGTTGTTGATACCATTTTGCATGCTGAACCATGATTGCACCTTTAAGCATCTGAAGCATCAAGTAAAATTAATAAACTTCTTATGTAAACTTTGCTGCTTGCTGAAAAATGTTTTTGCCAAAACTGTTTGTACTCRATTAAATGTAATAGATGTTACATCACTATAAAACAGTCTGAAAAGTTGTAAAATTAACTTGTCTTTTTGTAAATGTGAATAAGGGAACCTAATTTTTAGCCTGTTTATTAGTGCAAGATGTAAGAGGGAGGGGTCTACTCRCCTGTGCCACGACAAAGGCTTATTGAAATCTTGACTTCAAAATATTGAAGTAAGTTAATAATTTGCACCAAGAATTAAACTTCTTCTACTACTCCTATTACTGACTTTGTACATGTATGTTATTTTTGATAACAAGGTAAATCTATTTGAATATTCTTCTCTAAAGAGTTACAAGGGAAGCTTTGGAACCCGTTTTTCCTTCATCTCTTAGTGGAGCAGATTTTGGTCTTGTTGGAGTGATTTTTGTAGGATATTCATCAAAAGTTATTTGACCAGGTAATGACACAGTGGATRATGATGATTCTGAAAAACGAGATGTAGAAAAACAAACAATAAGATGAAAGTTGATATGATTAAGGATGAAGATATTTTTAGAAAAGCAAAACAATGTGTAGGTCATATCATTAGATTCTAATACTATCATTACCTGTAGGAGAACTTTGCTCYGTAGTTGATGGAAGTGACGAGCCAGATGATTGTCTCCTTGTCTGCTTTTTGCTGATATCCATCAAGTTGCGTTCTTCTTCCCATCCATCAACTTCATCCAAAAGTTTATCAACACTATCAGCTCTGGATGTCAAAGAAGTCCCTGGCCTGCTGCCAGAGCTGGAGATGGTTCCATAGGTGTCATTAGTAGTATAGAAATCTTTAGTTCCATACACACTATCCCAATCAACTGATTCACCACTACTAAAGATAGATGAGGGAGCTTTGGCTGCCTTTTCAAGGCTCTTGTGAACCTTCTTTTCAACTTCATATCTTATCTTATCACACCGTCCATTAACAAAGGCACCCAGGACATACATCTTTAACAACATTCGTTTCTTTACAGGACTCATAAGAATAAAGTCGTACTCTCTCTGGTCCAGTCGCTTGCGCATTTGTGGCATCAACTTCATAAACTCCTTTGCAGTTTGTCTGACAGACTTCTTTACCGACTGTGAAAACATGGAGGATGGCGACAAGGCTCGGTGTGCCTCAATTAATTCATCAAGTAAATCCCATAGGGACTCAAATGTTGGGTCGTCCAGGTACTCGGCTTCTCTGCAGTAGGCATTGATGATGTGGATTTGTCGCTCTATTTCATGCACAGGAGCAAATATTGGTGTACTTGATAAGGCTTTCTCAAGAATATGGCGACCCCTCAGTACTGCCCTCATGTACTTCTTAGTCTCAATCTCCATATCACTTTTGCCATCTCTTGAAAGTGTTGGCCAGAGTGGCTGTTTGGGGCCAATGACACGGAAGTAACGCAGCAACAAGTAAGTGACCCAGATGATGGTAACCAATAACCACAAGCCATTGACACAAACAAGAGCATAGAAAGGGTAAGGATGCACAACCAAAGAGCTAACAGCATTCTCAGATTTGTTCTTCTCGATGACACAGCCAAAGTATAGATTTGCTGTGTTGATAAGGAAGTTAAATATGATCATGAAGTTAAAAGGTGTCACTCTGAATGGTACAGATCTTAGCATGATGATCATGAGAAGTGAGAGCAACAACCCCATTCCTCCCCCTGCACTCTCAATGGTGTAAGCGCCAAARGCAACAAGGACAAGAAAGAACTTTGGAAGTAGAATATCCAGTTTGACATTGAAGATGATGTTGATTGTCTCTTTGAAGAACTTCCATATGAGCCAGAGTACAAATGCCCTAAAGCGTGTCAGTGGTGGGCGAGAAACACTAGATGAAAGCATCACAAATAGGATCACAATAAACAAACTTGCGATGCATCCATTTAGTATAAGTTTGTAGGAAAAAGTGGCTGATTTGTAAAACAACAGGGAACTGAAAAAACAGAGAAGGAAAAACTTGAGGTAAAACATGATTGGCCTGTAGTAGATCCACAATCTCTTGAACGACGAGAACAGATGAAACTGCCCAACAGCCCACAAAATATCCAGGCCTTGGTTGTATTCAGATTCCTTCAGCTGTAGGTAGCCCTCATGCTTTTCTGGGTCRAAGGAGATGACCTGTCCTCTTGTTTTCCTTATGAGGTTGATGGGGTATATCATAAATATGAGAAAGGCAATCATTGAYGCAACAGCTACGAAGACAYAATGAGGCATGGTCCAGCACTGAACAGAATTATCAACGTTCCAAATCATGACATCTTTTCCATTGGTACTGATAGCACGGCAGTGGAAAACCCTGGCCATGACGATCCCGACAGGAAGACATGCAATTTGGGCTAACACGCAAAACACTCGCTTAGTTCGCGCTACGTGTAGAAGTAGATAAAGCGGTCTCTTTACTTTAAAGTTCACGTAAGTCCCTAGAAACGCCATGCAAGTGATAAAGAACAAAGCACACCAAGCCATAAAGTATGGCTGATATCCAAAAGGCATGTTTGCCGAAGGAACAAAACTTGTAGTGGAGCCAGTATATGCTTCCCAATTCACTTTCATAAATTCCCAAACGTCTAGATTGATGAGAAACACGTAATAAACCCTTTTTATAAAGTCAAATGGATAGCCCCATCGTTCTGACATTGCTAAAATCAAAGCAAATATCTGCAAATGTTCTATAATCAAGATTACAGCATCGGAAACCCATAGAGTGATGCCATGATGGTTGAAGCTCTCCTGGTCGCTCTCTCCCTCATCTTCGTCGTCTTCAACGTCCACTAAAACAACTTTTTCTGGTTGAACCAACAGAGCAACTTCTTCTACAGGCTTTTCTTTCAACTTTCTGTTAAGAAGAGCCATTTTAATAAACCTGAAAGGATACAAAGTACAAAATCAAAACACCCTTTCTTTTATGTCTACTTCGGTCTTTATTCCTGGGCAACTTTGGAATGTCTCATTTACATGCGTTACCATGGTTTCTATTTACGGTAAATTTTACCAAAAAAGGTATTTGACGTCAATGATTTTCTCATGAATAGTTCATGTTTAATAAAAATTCCTGATTGCGTGACCCGTGACCTATCAGTATAGTATTACATATTCTTTCGATCGACGACATCTTTCAAAATTATACAATGCTTCTGCGTTTGAAGGATTTCACGAATCCGTTTTGAAATATGGCTTTGAAGTTTTCTGCAAGTTTGAGTTTTTTGTTTCAGGAGTATGAAAATCTGACGGACAGATACATGGCAGCAAAAAGGGCAGGTGAGTGAACTGAGATCCAGTGAAAAATATATGACATTGCAGCTCTGACTGAAAATATCAAAATAATCGGTAAATTTCTTTCTATATTCATCAGTCACAAGTAAAATTTAATCTTATTTTTAGAGGTTACAAAAACTGTGAGAATAGCGGTTTAATGATGGGTTTACAGCCTTACAATTTTGTAAATCACGTTTATTATGAGGGAGTGTTAGCGTTCGTTTGTTCAACGTTCAAGCGTAAAAAAATTGTGTGTTTATGGGGGGGGGGGGAATAAGATTGGAAAATATAAGGGCCTAGTATGGGAAAAGGAAAAAAGTGGGCAGGCTATAGCCACCCAAGCTCTCACTTCTTCTCAGCCCCTTTTATTACAAGATCATTGACTTCACAGTCTGTTTTTGTTTAGGTTTTACAGCAGTTGAGGTTGGCAATCCCTATAATGTACCAATAGAAGAGTTAAGGACTGCCAAAGAAGAGGCTGAAGTTGAACAAGTATTAATCAATGGATTCATAGGTACAATTTTTTCCCGGGAGGGGGGGGGGGTACTCCCCATATATTTGCTATATGGGTATGTGCTGCCCTATGGGGTATGGTTTTACGGCTTTTGGGTCTGGGGTAGGATATCATTTTTTGACATTTTGTCTGGGATAGGGTATCAGATTAGTCTGGGATAGGGTTAACGATTTGGTCATTTTTGTCTGCCRAATAGGCTACACTTTCTGCCGGTACAAAAACAATAAAAACATTAGTAAATATTGATTGCAATCTATTGAAAAACCGTCTTTTCTGTCTTTTAGTCTGGGATAGGGTGTACAATTCTTAGTTTTAGTCTGGGGTAGGGTATGTAAAATCAAAATTTTAGGTCTGGGATAGGGTCAGGGTTTTGAGGTCCTGGCRGCACACCCCTACCCAAGTTGGGGTGGTAGTACCCCCCAGGGAATTTTTGGCAGATAAATTGGAAATATTTTCTTTGGAAACTAAGCGCAGTTTTCTTGTAGGTGACACCAAAGGATTAGCTGCTGTTCCAGGGGAGGAAGAGGATTTCAAGCAATGTCTTGAACTGTCCATAAAGTATGCAGAAGCCCTTAAATGCAAGAGGTACTGAAAGCACCTTTAAAAGACCTGAAAATGTTTAGTGGGTTTCCTGTGGTACCAAAAACACTGGAACCCCACTTAACATTATAATCTATAAAGATATACAAAATATTTATTCATTAAATTGTTGTTCACAGGATCCATCTACCATGTGGTGCGATGACTGATGAAGAAGCTAAAAATGACAAGGTTAAACAGTTTTGGGAGCAAACATATGTGAAAAATTTAAGATTTGCTGCAGAAAGACTTGAGAAGGTTGGTATAATTGATGGTTTTCAATCATTTCCATGTGAATGTAATAACAAAAGACATGGTGGCCATGTTGGATGATATAATAAAAGAGACTTATGACAAATCTTTTGTTAAATTTCTCTTTGGCTGTGAAAACAACCAATAAACCTTGATATTCTTATAAGAAGTTATGTTATAGCTGCAGAAGTTGTGCTCTTGCTTCAAACAATACTCCATTTTACAGTTCCGTTCAGTGACCACGAATAATAGTTCCTAGCTGAGGCTGGAGTTTCTGAACTATAAAATGGAGTATTGGGGTAGCTAGAGGGGGACCAGGATTGACTAAAGCAGCTGGAGGTATTTTAAAAATTTCAAGTTCTTTTATCTTTATTAGGCTGGAATCACATTGTTGATRGAACCAGTCACCACCATTCCAAACTGTTTTCTCACCCAAACAAAACAAGGTATTTTAAAAAGTACTGGTATTCCYGTGGTGAACATTCTTGGACCACAGGAACCTCACTCCTGATATACAAGTCATTTTAGAAAATAATAGCATGATAAATATCTTCATATTATTTAATAATATCTAAATATTTCTTTTTCTCGCACTTACAGCTATAGATATAATTAAAAAAGTGGATCATAGTAACCTAAAACTGATGCTGGTGAGTATATTTTTCTAATAGTTTTTTATTGTGTAGTATTGAGTAGATGAAAAAGGATTCTCCTGACTATCCTTTCCTTTCCTGAAATTCATTTTTTATTGGTCAGAGGGTCATATAGATCTACAAATTATTATCCTTTTGTACTTTGAAACATTAACTATATATTTGCTAGTCTGTCACAGCAAYGCAATCTGGAGCTTTTAACTCAATCATAATTTTAAAAACTAAGATCAAAAGAACAGCAAACTATGACAATATCCTTTATTTAGTGTTATCGATCAATGGAGTTAACAGTCCCAGAAAGAATTGTTGTGATGGACTGGCGATATAGCCTGTACTTGCTTTGGAATGAMAAGTTATGTTGTCAAAGTGATACTAGCAACCTTAAACTTTTCAAAAACTACGACTGTAACAGCAACGTCAACTGGAAGTGTAAATAACTTTACTTTATGGTTTCGCTCCATCAAAGTCTGTCTTCCATGTGGATGGGTTGACAATTTACTGACAATGTTTTGAATGAAATCTCCAATGAACAGGACCCCTAAGAGAAATTATTTACACTTCCGGCTGACRTAGCCRTCATAGATTTTGAAAAGCTTAATCTATTAGCTTGACTGATGCATGGTACATTAYGTTACATGTTGCAGGATATATTCCATGCACAAAGTGGTCATGGTAATCTCACCAATACTTTAAATGAGTGCATTGAATACATAGGTAAGAAACTTTGTGATTGAATAGGGCTTGGCAATGTACCAATAGAAGYTTTGCACCATAGTTTGCTGTCAACCATAATGCAGCTTGGGCTGCCTGTGGTTAGATGGCAGAACAACAAAATCWTTTTGCTCTCACTAATTGAATTCTTTCTTATGTAAAAATAAATGATTGAATGTAGTGTTTCTTTGATTGCAGTTACATGATGGTGCAAAGCCTCTATAGCTCAAGGGCGGATCCAGAGGGGGGGGCAAAAATGGGGCTGAAGACCCCTTTCAGCAGAAAAACAAAACAAAACAAAACTGAAAAATTAGATGCTTTTTTTTATTGTTTTCTGTTGTGTTGATGGAAGAAAGTCGATTAACCCCCCCCTAAAATTTTGGCTGGATCTGCCCTAGCTTGTAGCTACTTAGTAACTCATACAGTTTCAATTCAGACAATAGCAATAATTATTAACCTATCATCGTAGAAACAATTTTTCCAGTGCAAGCATAATCTTCAGCATTGCCCCACACACATCATACTACAAGAATTAGGATGCTTATGATTTGTATTTTCATGGGAAGGCCAAAAATCAAACCAATTTTAACCAATAGTTTTCTATGATCAAATATTTAGATTCTGAGATATTTCAACTAAATTGTTGCACTTATATTTATTTGCATTATTCTATAGATCATATACAGATCAGTCAAGTACCTTATCGAACTGAGCCAGACTGTGATGGAGAAATCAATTACCCTTACATATTAAACCTGATAGCTAAGCTAGGTTATAAGGGTTGGATAGGCTGTGAATATCACCCTAGAGGTAAGTGCATTTCAATATCTGCGAAGAAGGGCTAGTACACTCTAGTGTGTGTTGCTGATGGCATCATTGACCTCTACTACCCGACTCCCAGTCATATCCAATACTGTCCAACTGATACGGATCATCAGTGTGGCTCACGATCTGTAAGATTCGTGAAAGTCATTGAAATGCATATCATTAGCTATGTGCACTTAACCTTTCACGGTAACCCTGTACACTTTCACACTTTTTGTTCAGTTAATTAGCACCAATTGTCTTACTATTTTAATGAGGGAATACGAATTTAAATAAGAAAGAAAATTTGCAAAGCATCTTGGTAGTGGCAGTCAAATTAATGACGCTATCATGCAAACTCTATTTAAAAATAAAARCTAAGCTAACTTCAAAATTAAGCCATTTGTGTTYGATATATAACTAGGGTTCACACTGGAACAGTCACAAAAATTGCCAATTAGTCATGTTACACAATTATTGTCTTAATTTATCACAGGTAAAACAGAAGATGGACTTAATTGGATGATGAGATACCAAGTGCCGCCATAGGTATTTTTTTTAAAAAACCTGCAACAGTTTGTACATTTATTTATTCCTAAAGTAAAATATATTATGATTTCTAGTCAAATTTATTTTACTCATTTCAGTAGATTTATTAAACAGGTATTAGATATCATTAATATAATTCAATTGCTGGGACTATCATTGGTACATGTCTAAATTTAGACCCACCAAAAGTACTATCAAAACAATATTTACTTCCAAGATAAATATTTTTATCATTTGAATGGAATTTGAATAGACTGCTGATGGTTTCTAGTAGGATCTTAGTAGGAGCAGAGTTTTAACTGATGGAGGTGGGCCTAAAGCACTACCTGTTGTAAGACCAGGGCTAAAATAATGGCAAGTCATTTTGACAATGTCGGGCTAAAATTTAAAACTTGTCCAGTCAAATCTAACCTTGTGGGTCATTTTAACCAGTAACGTTGATCCAGAAATGAGGTATGACCAAACAATAACTAGTTTGGCTTGTGATCATGACCAGCGAYTGACAGACCATATTGTTAGCCTTGTGAGATTTTATGTAGTATGTTTAAAATTATTTAGTCTATTGGCAACTAAAGTGGCAACTGAAGACTGTTGTCTAAGTCTAGTCCTCTGCAATCCTCTAACCCCTTTCCAAAGGTAAAAATTATTTCTTGCAACGATACAATGTAAGATATACTAATTTTTAAACACATATTGTAAATAATTATTAAGGAAATTATAGTAATTAATTTATAATAGTTTAAAAAAAGTTAATAAATACTTTTTGTAAATAATTGTTCCCCATTGATAGGTTTTTGAAAACAATCTTTACATTCAAACTGAAACAAGTACAGAATACCCTGATAAAACAGAAATATTTTTGATTCTATCAATAATAGCATTTTTCTGGCTTGTCTCTCCTACCACCTCCCTGGCTTTTAAGAATAGACCTCCTTATAGCTCAGGCTTAATATTTTCCCTTTTCAGACCTTGTGTCATTTCCTTGAGAATAAGATTCTTTGTTTGAGTTGTATCCATATTCTTGGTCTTCTCATATGCAACATGTGCAAAGAAATAATATTCTAGGCAATGACATGTGGTCTGAAAAGATTATGCCCAAGCCGATATTCAGCTCTTAGCTCTTTCTTAGTGTTGCAGGGCACCTGCGCCATGATGACAACAAAACAATAGTTGAGAACAATGAGTTTGGAGCTAAACAATACCCTGCAATACGATAACCCAACCCAGAATACAATAAAGATTGCTGACATAACTTTTAATTTCTAAGAAATAAAATTCTTAGAAATTATATTCAGTTGCTGGTAACATATAGAATACTAATTATTGATGCAAAGGATTAAGAACATGCTATTCATGTTCTTCGTTTTATCAYATAGTTGTCTGCCTGTAATTATATTTTGAATGAAGCAAGCAAAATTTCAGATTTGGGATGTACAGTGTGAAATGGGTTCAAGATGCCCTGCCAACAGATGTTCCAAATTTTACTAGCACAACATAAATCATGGGGACCTATTCAGGGTTAATACAATGGCAACTGACAATTTTCAGCCAAAATCGACACACAATGATCAATATAATATTTTGTGTGGTCATTGGGCAGCCATTATGTTGAGCCCTGCTTCTTATATTATACAGCAGTTATGCTGACTGGCTGGCGTAAYAGATTATTTCCTACATGTAATGTTCAAGTGTTACAAAATCTTACCTGAGTAGAAACAGGTTTTATTATTATGGAAGAAAACAACCTGGTTGTTTTTCTCATTTAAAGTAGCTACAGATAGAAGTCTTGGTAAGAATTCTTCTTTCTGATATTATAGGACAAAACCGTTTGATCAGAGCATCTTTGCTTAAAAAAAGTACTTGTGAATGTACTTTATTTGAGAGAAAAYGTGGCAATTTTGTCTTTTAAGAGTCCAAGGTGAATTTTTAAAAGATGTAATGTTTTTCATTGATGAAAATGACTTTTTTAATCAAACAATCTGCTTGAATCTGTCACTTTTCTTTCTGCTTGGGAAAAAATCCCAACATGTCTTAACCATGGATCCATTTTYACTGCCAAGCCTGTTTCAACATCTTCATTGAAGCTAAACGATTGGAAATCACGGTTACTAAGACCAAAATTAGCAAAGTACCAGCTATCAACCAGTAGTCAAAGTCTTCCTTTAGGACATCAAACATGCGTGATGGTGTGACACGAATCCAGTAGATATCAAGACCATAGGTGAATACCAGACAAGTGGACTCCAGCCCAGAAGCACTTGTATGTATACCTCGAATGCGAGTCACTAAAAGAATTAGAAATGGAGGTTTAGTATAACATTTTTTAAGGATGTCAACAAAAACCAGTAACATTTATAAAGAAGTATGCCTTACTACTTTATGGGTAACATCTAACTGTTTAAAGACTCAATGACATATCTGATTAGTTGGCACAAAGATTTTTGTTTGATGGCAAAAGTAAATTTTCGGGGAAAAAATCATTTAAATGTTGATTTTTTTTACAATTTCCCAACAGTTTATAATTATGATTGTCTTTCCTCACTATGACTTCAAATTTTTATTTAACCCTGGAACAACCACACTGGGCTGATCAAAGTCAGGACAAAGCTTATTCTCAGGTCAAATTGGAGTTTAGGGTTTTGTGGAGGACAGAAAACTGGAGAACCCAGAGAACAATCCCCAAATCAAGGGTAGGTGGGACCTAATGAACTTGATGATATTCATCTTATCTTTGACATCCAGTGATRGTCACAGTAATGTTAAAAGGTAAAAAGGTAAAGGGATGAATATATAAAGTGCCATTTCCAGGAGCTCAATGCCATTTTACAAGATCAGTGGAGGACTTTACAGGCTTTATATAAAGGTGCTAGTAGCAGCCRTGCAGCTTACAATCAYGAGTGATTTGTTAGTATGTTAGTATTATGCCTCCAGATTGGGATAGGTTGTTTRTACCTGTTTGATTGTAGTTTACRAATGCCATTGGATTCAGAGTGATTTCAGGCATGTACGGAAATAATCCCTCCTCTCTGTCCTCTTGTGTTGGGTTGAACGTCCTTCTTGGATCAAGAAAGGTTTTGGCCAGGCTAACAATGTAACCACTTTGTAACCCAATCAACARGTTTCTGTGTGTGATTCCACGTTCTGTAATGGTGACTGTCATGGAGCGTATAGTTGTTGGAAAGATGTAGGATTGCTGGAGTACTATTGGTTGGGGTGGTGGGTCCAATGACGAGAATGCAGTGCTGTGGGAAAAAATATGCATTTTGAAAAAGCATGCTTCTTGAACCTCATTCTTTTGAGTTCAAAGCTTTTGGACAATAATTACTTTCATGCTGTAGTCTACTCTGCATTAAATCATCTTCTCATCCATCCGTTCTTCTACGCAGATTTTATTATTTGGTTATTATTTTGATAGTAATGGATTGGTATGTAATGTTCAATATTAATTTCTTTTATGAAATAACTGTTCTAAATCTCGCATTCTGATTGGTTGGGAGCACGTGCTTGAGAGCACACAGCACGCGCATGCACTTACAGTTTCATTATTCATGTAATTTGTATTCTATAAAAGAAATTTAAAAAATTGCTTGCTTTGCCGTGTTCAGTATAAAGCACTTGGGGATTGGCAGGACACTCAAAGAGTGTTGAGAAGCACTCTGCTGTGTGTCGTGCTTCTCCTAACACTTCTCTCGTGTTCTGCCAACCCCCGTGTGCTTTATAACTACACACAGCACTCACGCACGTTTTTTATTTCTTCAATATCAATTTCTTAGAACTAGCTTTGTATTCTTCATAGTAAGCTCTAAATTTTCTTAAATTTAATACTGCATGAATAATTAAGAGAATTTACAAACCTATTTCTTTCTTTGTAGCCTTCATACAGCTCCATGACAAYGAGCTCATGACGTCTTGACTTGGTGTTAAACAAAGAATATACCACCCAGTTCTCAGAATGAACCATGTGTATTGGACCACGGGCATTCTTGTGACGACTGGTGTGTACTATTAAACCTAAAGCAGGTACAGTACAATTTATGAATATTGCATACTTGATTACTTTAAATTGCAGTATTATTGATACTCTTGGATGAATATCTGCTAATGTCCTCGTACTATACATTGCTTTTTGTAAAAGTATATTATACTTTTTACACAAACTAACACCATTAACTATTACTATCATAAACATAACTATGATCACTATAATC